CAGAGAGATCCCGTCCCGTTTGGCGCTCTCTCTCTCTCTCTTCCGCAGGTCCCTCCTCCTTTCCTCCTCCAAAATAAATAGCCCCTCCTCCTTCCCACACTCGTGCTTCCATCAACAAATTACACAGCTCCACGTTCACCTTGCTTTTGCTTCCGGGCACCCCTCTGGTCTCTCTGTCCTCCTTTCTTTTTATTTAGTTTAATTTTCCCGTCTTTTCTTCTCCCTTGATTTTTAAAAAATGGCTCTCAAGGCCGTCCACGTCTCCGACGTCCCGAATCTCGATCAGGTGCCGGAAAACGCCTCTCTGGCGCTCTACTCCTCCCGCTTCCCCAAAGGTATAATCTTTGATTAATTAGTCCTCTAATTAATTTATTTATGATCTCTTGTCAATTAAATTTAAAAAAAAAGGTTGTTAATTTGAATAATATTGTGCTTATAGGTGTGGAGATGAATCGGGGGGCACCGAGGATACCCAAGTTTCTAGTGATCGGACACAGAGGGAACGGAATGAACGCGCTACAGTCGTCCGATCGGAGAATGAGAGCCATTAAAGAGAACTCCATCATGTCCTTCAACGCCGCCGCCAGCTTCCCCCTCGATTTCATCGAATTCGATGTTCAGGTGAGACCTTAATCTCTCTCTCTCTCTCTCTCTCTCTCTCTCTCTCTCTCTCAATTCAATCAAACCAATGGTCCCAATGTGTTTCTGAATTTTGGCGGTGGGCTTTCCGGATATTTCAGTTTTTATTTAAATGAATTTGCCGGAATTTCCATATCCCACCTGCATTTTCTTGTCGCCGAGTACGCCGTTTTGTTGTCGGCATTTGCATGAGAAAGAAGTTTGATTTTTTTGGTTGAAAGTTTGGATCTTGATCGAGTCTGCAGTGAAATCCGGTTCTGGGTTTTAGGGTATTTCTGTAATTTCGGCTACTTTTCTATTTTTGGTGAATTTCCAAGCTGGGGTTTAGCTTAATAAGCTCTTAAATCAAGATCAAGTCCTTTGCTTTTCTATTTCGGGAAACTTGTTTTGAGTTTGAAACGGTACTGATTATCTCCTTTTTCTGCATTTTTTCTCCCTTAATTTTTGGAAATTGGATTAAAATTTGAAGATTGGAGGTGAATGAAGAAAAAAAAAAGTGAAAAAAAAAAGAGAGAAAAACTGAAACAGGAAAGTGAAACCCAATGTGGTGGCTTTTTGTAGGTAACCAAAGATGACTGCCCGGTCATTTTCCACGACGACTTCATCTTCTCTGAAGAAAACGTAAGCATAATTTCTCCACCCTCCATTTACTTTTTACTTTTCCTTGTATGTTTACCTGGTAATTAATCTTCAGCTTACAAGTTAAATTTTGGTTTCATCAGGGTACTGTGTTTCAGAGGAGAATTACCGAACTGTGTCTCTCGGAATTCCTAAACTATGGTCCGCAAAGAGAGCCAGGGAAGGAGGGAAAGTTGTTGTTAAGGAAAACCAAAGATGGTAAAATAGTAAGATGGGATGTCGAAAATGATGACCCCCACTGCACGCTCCAAGAGGCCTTTGAGCAGGTCGAGCCTTCCCTCGGCTTCAACATCGAGTTGAAATTCGATGATTACATTGTTTACCAGGAGGACTCTCTCTTCCGCGTCCTTCAGTCCGTCTTGCAAGTACGTCCATCAATCATCGTATTTTTTAAATTTGTACACGATATTAAATCCTAGGCGCCAAACGAGGCCTGATTGTTAGTTTCGATAATGCTTGTGCTCATATGGATTATAATTTTGTGGAACAGGTGGTGTTTGAGTATGCCAGAGATAGGCCGGTCATTTTCTCAAGCTTCCAACCTGATGCGGCCTTGTTGGTTAAAAAGTTGCAGAACACTTACCCTGTAAGCACTTTTCTCGTATATAATTTACTTTTGAATGCTATCGATGTTCAATGTAATCAGTTACTAATTACTGTTCTGAATGAATTGATTATGGCAGGTCTTTTTCTTGACAAATGGTGGGAATGAGCTTTACTATGATGTGCGAAGGAATTCTTTGGAGGAGGCGATAAAAGTATGTTTGGAGGGTGGTTTGCAAGGTATTGTGTCGGAGGTTAAAGGCGTTTTCAGAAATCCCGGGGCTCTAACCAAGATCAAGGAGGCCAAGCTTTCACTCCTAACTTACGGCAAATTGAAGTAAGCTTGCGGAATTCCGTTTGCTTGATGAATTTGAGTTAGAGTTGAACTTAAAAAATTATGTATGAATGAAAAATTGTTGATGAAATTGATGATGACATTGCAGCAACGTGCCGGAAGCAGTATACATGCAACACCTAATGGGAATCGAGGGAGTGATAGTGGATTTTGTGAAAGAGATAACGGAGGCGGTGTCGGATATGATTGAGCCATCAGGGGGGGCGGAGGAAGACGGGAGCATAATGCAGGAGAAATCAAAGCCGGAGTTCTCACAGAGGGAGCTTTCTTTTCTGTTGAAGTTGATTCCGGAGTTGATACAGCTTTGAGGTCGATCTTTTGAAGGATTTGTATCTCCTTTGTAAAATTAAATTAGGGGGCAGAAGCAATATATGCATACTCAGGAATCAGGTTGTGGAGGTTGTCGCATCATATATGCACCATTTGTTGTACATATAATTTAGTCTTGAGGGTCACAACCCTATACACATAAGTTGTGCGCTCCTCCTTTATGTATCTCAGAGGTAACCAAGTTTTATGTTGGTTGAGCATTCAGCCATTTGTTTTGGTCTTCTTCTATTTCTGTCTGTTTTTTCTCTCTCTCTAGCTCTCACTGCTCTAGTTCACAAGTGCCTTTATATTTTACACGTTTTTTGTATTGAGAGTGGAGAAGTTCAACCTTGTTATACCAAGAGAGCCATGCCCTCTTCTCTTGGAGAAAATGGAAATAGATTTGAGGAGGAATTGAATTGAGAAAGAGGTTGGAATGAGACGGAATTTAAATCAAATTCCTATTAAAACTGTTTATTAATTTTTTTTGAAATTAAAGTAGGAGTAGTACTGATGTTTACTAATTCACATGAATAGAAATGAAAATCAATGTGCTTACTGAAAATGCCCTACTTCCAGTAATTTAATCTTATATATTTTAACTTTGATAAAAAAAACTTTAATTCTTTTTAGTTTGATATTTTTAGCTGAGAGAACAAAATTTGGAGTTGGTTATAAGGAGTAGGATTCTTCAATTCCCACTAAATTATAGAGAGTTCAATTCCTTCAAATTTTGCAGTTAAATTCTGCACGTATGTAATAAATTGAAGTACTCTTGGGTTTACGCATACAGCTGGGCTTCTTGAAAGGAGAACAAAGTTAATTAATCCAAAGTTCTATTGACAAGTGTAGTAATTAAGGTGCTAATTAATGGAAATGGACCCTCTTTGCATCTCTTCCTCTTAATCTATCAAATCAAAAAATCTGTACTATTAAAATTTAATCAAACAGCTGAGTTTATTATAACTTTTAAAGTAAACTTTTACTTGTAGTCATTAAATCAAATTTCAACAGCCCACATTTCTTGATTTGGTAGATTAAGAGGAAGGGATCGAATTCTTTCCCCTAATTAATGTGCATCTCCACATGATAACGATTCTCACAGCAGCACTATGTCAATTCAAGACAAGACCACACTACAAGGTGGAGCATATTGAATACATTGTTTTCTTCAACTAGACGTGTGTTTCAAACACACATCTCCCTACTCCCTAGACATATGTATGGTGTTGGTGTTCTTCAAAGTCTCAACTTCAATGTCATTTCTTAACTTTTTATCCATCTTCGTTATCAGCATGGTTGATTTGACCCTAGAGATAATGAGAGATGTGAGGAATTTTTTATATTTGTAAACTAAATGATGTATCATCAATAAAAAATAAATATTTTAATTAAATAATTAAGTAATAATTTAATCATCAACGTTCACATCATTTAGTTTACAAAATTTGATTTAAAAGTTTACTCTCTCTAGTATTACCTTTGACCCAGACTAAGCCAAAGTCATTTGTATATGCAAAACTGACATATGAAAGTTATTTGTTAAGAGATCATGTCTGAATATTATTTTAGAATACCTCAGAAAATGAGAGAAACTCTTGTTTTGATTGAGGAGAAAATGAATAGTTAACTGGAAAACAACATTAAGAGTTGTTGCTGGTCTCAAAATGGGTCTCCGCCGAAAGCCAAGGATTTTGAGATCTGTTTGTACTTCTTGTTTTGTGTTGGGGGCGTGCCAACTTGCGGCTTAAGGTCAAGCGAGTAAAGAAAAGTTGGTTCAAACAAAACTATTTCCTCAAAATCTAAACCAATTATAATCTAGGATAATGCTATTTACATCAATTTTTATTTCTCGCACACATTTTTCAATTTTTGGTCGGCGACCTGATCAAATGAGTTAAAGAAGATTGATGATAAAAAATAAACAAAGATGTGAGAAAAGTAAAAATAAATGTGTGAATAGCTGAATAGCATTATTCTCAATTTATATCTCGATATAAATGATGCCTGTGTATAATGCTGTCAAATCTTGTAAAATATACAATTTTGGATTCTTTAAATCAATAATTACTGAAAACGTACTTTGCAAGCAATCATGAAGAAATTAAGGTTAATCAATCTCTGCCAAATGTACAGTATGTGCGTGTGTGTGTGTGTGTATGTTTAAATAGATGAGAAATGCTAAGGGGAGTAAGGACACACAAGTTAGAACAAGAGATTTCTGTACCTACAACAAGGCGAGTAAGGACCAGAAGAACAAACAAGAGATTTAAAAAATAATTAAGAGCACACAACGTGCCACACATGGGGGGGGGGGTGTCTCAGCTCACAGTGCTTTTAGTAATACAGAAGAAAAGCATGCTTAATTGCTTATTGACCAAAACCTAACTAATTAGTCCTCACACGGTTGCGATCAGTTGTGAACACAAATCAAAGACCCGTCAAAATAAAGCAGCAACCGATTCCTACCCCATTTTTTCCTTTTTCTATAATTTTACTCATCCACCACACTATTTTCATTTCCCGAGTCAAGGAAGGAGAAGAGCTTTCCGAGTCAGAATACGAGTCAAGAGTTTCCTGGCACTACTGCATCCCTCTCTAGACCAATTTATTTAAACGATACCTCCCTGTTTGTCTATATATCTATATATATATGTGTGTGTTGATCTCCCCACTCTCCAAATCTGCAACTGCAAGAAAGCACACAACACCAGGATTGCCAGCTGCCGCCCAAGTCTTCTCCTTATGCCTTTTACGTCTGAATCAACTTCCACACATGCCATTAACTAGCTATTGCTCTCTCTCTCTCTCTCTCTCTCTCTCTCTCTCTCTCTCTCGTTGTTCCAGTTGCACAACACTAACATATATTCCTGCTCTCCTACACAACTAATATATGAGTTGCTTGCTTCTGCTACAATTAATTATTAAGCTAAACCTAGATCATATATTCATCAGATATTTGATTAATTAATCCATAAAAATATATAGATATATAGAAATGGAGAATATTAAAGAAAATTATGTAATTTATGGAGGAGTGAAGATGCCGGTTGGGTACCGGTTTCGTCCCACGGACGAAGAGCTGGTGATTCACTACTTGATGAGGAAGGTTCATGCTGCCCCATTGCCTGCTTCCATCATTCCAGAGTTTGATGTCTTCGAAACTCATCCCTGGGGCTTGCCAGGTTAGTTTGTTCATGTTTTTTTATTACTCTATCTTGTTTTAACAAGATAAGTGATTTTTGCACTCTCATTTTCTCTGTCGGTTAGACTTCATGCATGTATATTTCTTTGACACTACTCTAATTTATTCATGTTCAAATGACAAAAATGATCATGAGTGTGCATAAATCATTAGGAGTGTGCGGAAATCACTTTCCTTTTATTAATAGAGTTTTATTCAAATTATAAAGCAAGGCTAGCTAGCTAATTGATTCATCATTATCGGGTTGTGCAGGTGATATTAGGGAAACAAGGTATTTCTTTTATAATGAAAATATGAATAAGTATGTTGGCATCAACAGCAAGAGAGCTGCTGGTTGTGGGTACTGGAAACCTATTGGCAAAAAGAAGCAAATTGTTGCTAATTCTAAATCCAATGAAGCCGTTGGGATCCGGAAGACGTTGGGTTTCTGTGAAAGGAAGCGCCGCCGTTGCCACAACCACTACCACGAGAGTACTAGTACTACCACTCAAACTCGATGGCTCATGCATGAATACCGCCTCTTGGCTTGTCAAGCGAATCCAACCCAGGCTTTCAAAGCGGAAGTGGGAAACTGGGTGGTGTTTCGCATATTTCAGAAAAAGAGAAGGCCTACTCAAAGAATATCAGATGACATGGGAGTAGTTTCTCAACGCTCATCAAACTGCAAGAGGAATCGAAGATTAATGGAGGAATATATCTCTGCAGCTGATCATCGTTCACGACGTTCGGATCCTGATCTTACAACACTTTCTTCCCCATCATGCTCGAGTGATATCACTCATGAGCTCACTTCCAATGACAATGGCGAGCTAGACGATGATCAGGAGGGACACAGTGTTAGCGTGCGGATTAATATTTAGCTAAGCTATTATATGTTGATCACATTAATCTTGTCTTGTTTAAGATCAGTAGTACTAAGTAAGATAGCTTTGATTAAGCTTCCTTAATTCCGTATAATCCATCATGTAATCCAACTATCTTGCGCAACAAATTAAATGAGAATGGCCACCAACACCAAGAGGCAAATGAAGAGGCATTCATATTATTGTACCCTTCAATTTTGTAAGGCTTAATTATGAGTACGAGCATTAGATAAGAAAATTGAAAATGGAACGCTGAAGGTTTAGTAATATTCTGTCTGAACTTTAACTTCAAGTAAACTTTAATCACTAACGTTAATTAGCGATGTAATAGGGTGGATAAAAGACTTATATGCTATCATTGTCAGCTTTTTTCTTGTAGTGTATATTGTTTTAACTGATCAAATTCACCAAATATAATTTTATAACAATCCTATCACAGCCAGAGGAAAAAGATGTGCAATGCAAAGATGGCATATGATTTGTTTCTATGTAAATCAGGAGTTGTCTTTCTCTTTTCTTATCAAAGGGGCAAATGATCTCTGAGCCAAAAAGATAACCCCATTGAATTGGGTATATCTATCTATCTAAATCTAATTTGATAACCAACTGCCTGACAAAAAAAAAAGGATGGAGGTTTAAGTCTTGGCGCTTTTAGTTTTGGGCATGAATGAAACGAAAGAGGTTCTTTAATTCTATTATCTAAATCGAATCATGGCACAACCACGACAAGTGGCTCAGTGGAAAAGTGCGAACAACAGCTCTCTAAAGAAAAAACAGGAGATCAGGGATTCGATACTTTGTAAGCTGTGAATTTGCTTGATCGTGGCACAGGAAGGGTGAAAGTCCCAACTAACCTTCTTCAGGGCCGGGAAAGGTGAATAATCGTAGTTCGCCGCCAATTAACTCCTTTTTTTCAAGAAATAAAAAAAGACAAAACTAATGAAAATGGTTTGAAAACTTTGAGTTTTAATCACGAACAACAGCTCTCTAAAGAAAAAACAGGAGGTCATGGATTCAATACTTTGTAAGCTGTGAATCTGTTTGATCGTGGCACATGAAGGGTGAAAATCCCAACTAACCTTCTTCAGGGGTGAAAAAGGTGAATAATTGTAGTTCGCCGCCAATTAACTCCCTTTTTTCAAGAAAAAAAAACTAATGAAATGAGTTTGAAAACTTTGAGTTTTAATCAAAATGACAAAAATGTGTTGTAAGTGAATAGTACCAGGAGTGATTTTTTAGAGTAAAAATGTCATTTTCATTAAAAGTGAACAATATCATAAGTGTGTCGTTAAAACTTTAAAAAAAAAAATCGAATCATGATACGTAAAAATAAAATAATCATAAATATGTTAGTGGTGGCAGACAGCACCCACGCTACACTAGTGCACTTGACCCCTTATTTTTCCATACAATTGATAACTTAATGCTTCGATTTATGGAAACTAGCTTATATCTTTTTGGCTAATCCATTAAAAATTTAACAAGGTTTTGTCTTCTTCGTTCATATATACGATCGATAATTATTATATTACATATAATTAATGAGTGTTAATTTGATTATTTATCTCTACTAATTAATAAAATACTCATTGTCAACCAAAACTTTATGAAATTACCAGTTTAACCCTCTAATTAAAACAAAACATGAATAAGAAATATGTGGTAGAAATAATTGTGAGAATTCAAGTCTAGAATGATAAGCCTTCAATAACACAATGGATTCAAAACATTAAAAGCTGGTCATCGTATGAAGCAACTTAGTATTACAGTATGAGGGTGGTCAAAATGTCATTATAATATCTATTTGCTTGCACCTCCGCCTCACTGTAAGATTTTGAGAATTCACGTAAGATGGAAATGACAAGCAAGTAGTTGATGCCCACCATGACCTGAGTGTCGCCTTGGACAACTGGGCTAGGGTCAATAGCGTGGTACCGATCTTTTCCTATTCCAACTTATTTATTTATTTTCTTCTTTTTTTGTTTTTTTCCTTTAAGTTTTGTCTTCATACGTTACTTTATTTAAGTAACAACTAGTAAATTCAAATATCTTTAAATTTAGGTTTTAAATCGTTGTTTTTAAATGTTTAAATATGAATTATAATAGATTTTTCACGGAAAAATAAATTTTGAAGAACATTAATATGATAGTTTGTTGTTATGATAAGAGAGATAAAAAAATTAACAAAAAAAATAAAAAAAAAATTGAAAAGGGGGGTCGGTATGAAGCTAGCGATTTAATTAGGGCTAACTCGCTACCAACATTACCAACATACTGACTTTTATAGAATTAGATCGCTACCTTTCTAGTGACAGCTCTCGCAGACAATCGGTAGCAAAGTTTTGATTGTATCATTTTCATTTTAGCTATTTATTTTCTGCTTTTTTCTTTTCCCATTGCATTTTTTTTTCCTTCCTACGTTACTTTATTTAAATTCAAATATCAATAGAATTAGATTTGTAACAAACCACTAGGGCAAACCACAAGAAGCCAAAAAACATCAAAAAGAAATAGCTCAGGGAGCAAAAAGAACAACAATCAACGTAAGTGCAAGAGAAATCAACAACAATCATCTAACACATGGTTCAAGTTCCATTTATGAATATTTGGATTCTCAACAGTAGGCTTGAAACCACCAGAGCATGAAGAAGTTGTGGTTCCACCACTAATTGACAATATGAGGAGTAGTCAAATTACTTAATAAGCATACACAAAATCCCTTCTCTTAGGGCTGGTTTGGTATTGCTGTGCTTTGAAAAAAAACTGTTGTGAGAATAAGCGGTTGTGCTGTGAGAATAAGCGGCTGCGAAATAAATCAGCAGAGTGTTTGCTAAACTTTTTTGTAAAAATGCTTTTGGAAAAAAAAAAGCAATCTGATAATGGGTCTTTTCATTAAAGGAGTACTGTAGCTCCGTGTGCTTTGAAAAAAAGCCAGTTTTCCAAAGGCAAATAGTAGCTTCAGTTTTTTCCTTTGATTTCAGCTTATTCTCACAGCAGCTTCCAAAATAACCCTTTTTTTTTTTCAGTTTACCAAACACCTAAAACCCTCACAGTTTTTTTTCATGGGTGCTTTTTTTTTAAGCACCTGACTCCCAAACCACCCTTTATTATTGTGGGATTCATTCTCAATAGAGCAAAACCACAACTTAACAATGGCGAGAATCGGAGTCAGCACAATGTCATGCTTTCTATGTACTTCAAGAGTTCAAGTAATGCAACCTCTCAGGGGAGCTTGAGAATAAGATTCGTACTGTTAATCCCACACCAATGGAAAAGAATCAAGTCCAACTTAAACGTCTTAAACAAGGCTTTCTTCAATTATTTCCTCTATTCAACTCCCTCCTTTTCTCGATCGAGACCTCTCCCCGGCCCCCCAAAACATGTATACTCGCAATCAGGTATAAATGTGTGATGGATATCAAGAACAAATATTGATCTTCTTATATATATATATATACACTAGTATTTGCTTGCACACTTTGTGTGTATGAACACATTTTTTAGAAAATGATAAGGAGAGAGGGAGAGAGAGAGAACGTGGGGGGAGCGAGAGGTTTTTGTTTTTTGTTTTTTTTTTTTAATATTGAAGGTATTTTAACATCACTTGTATGTGAGGTTTCAATAAAAAACAGTAAAATTTGGACATATGAAATTACATTATTGCCTATCATTTTTTTGTGTGATATAAGACTAATTTGTCTTTTCACCATCTTTTGATTGACAAATAGGATTTCATTAATTAGTAGAGATATACACACACACATACACACATACGGTTTTGAGTTAAACCACAAAAACCTACATGCATGGGACCTGTACGTTGAGCTTGTTTGCCCCGAACGAGGGTTAACTTGCACCGACCAGTCGAAAGCTTTATGTACTAGACTCCTAACTCGTAAGGAAAATACCGTATCACAGGGATCTCAGGCTATGCTTCAAAAGGCGGCTCTCTTCGTTTGAAAACGGTTATGCTATGCTATGTTCCCTTAGCCTTGGGCTGCAAGAACCATGACACACCTTTTTGAATTTTGACCCATCAAAGTCTTTATTCAAACAACTATAATTAATATCTTTGCTTTCATTTCCTTCATTTCCCACTCAATGCTCCTATAAATTCAAAGGCTAGCTAATGTGGAGCAGTATAAAGTGGAACGACAATGATGTATTTCCCTAAGAAAGACCATTTGTGTCTTCAAAATTGCAACTATACGTCTTTTTATGGAAGTTTTAACTAAAAGTCTACGGTACTGTTCACTTTAACAAAAAACCACATTTTTACACTAAAAAGTCAATCCTGATACTATTCACTTTACCCTTTATTTTGTCCTTATCGTTAAAACTCAAAGTTTTAAAGTCATTTTCATTAGTTTTTTTTTTTTTCAAGTTCACCATTTTTATTACATAAAAAATGATAAATACACATAAATTTTCTTTTCTCACTAAGTTTGTTAATCATGTTTCTTATTTTCGTTCGATTTTATTGAATCCGATGATCATAATATTTAAAATATATATTAAAAAAAAAACTCGAAAAAGGTGTGAGAATCATCTTCCTTTCTCACATATGTTTAAAAGCCAAAAAGCACTTCATTAAGATGAAAAGTGTATGTATATGTGAGCTATGTGAAATGCTAAGGAGACTTTCTCAAAGTAGGAGTTTCCATCACTTCACAGTTTACTGTTAATTTTTGTGCAACATTATAAAATATTGTGCTAAAAATAAGGTCGCAGAAAGTTCATGGAAAGTCCCACTTTTGAAAGAGTCTCCTCGAGTGCATTTTTGCTCACCACCATAAGCGATGGTATATGCTCACCATACACCTTGTCATTTGCCAACGTATCTTTTCACCTAATTCTGGTTAACTTTTATATTAAATATTAATTTTATAATTTAAAAATATTAACTATAATTAAATGAAAAAACACGTGATAACCAATGAGGTGTATAATAAGCCACACTATAATTATGGTGGTGAGCTAAAATGCTCACATTTTCCTTAGCATTTCCTTTTCTCAAATATTATAGTACGCATGTTACTAAAATTTACCCGTGAAGTTTCATCTATTTCAAAAACCTTTTTCAATGATTGCGTTCTTGGTCTCCCTTTTGAATAGAGGATAATATAATTTGTTAATTAATGCGAATCATCCGAAATGTCCAAGCCAAATTTTGGCAGGAAAGTTTTAAAAGTATAAACCGTCTTTATAGATTAAAAAATAGAAAAGAATGACTTGTGCGACCATATGTCATGTGCACCAAAGCATCA